TCCAGCTCCTTCTGGACCGAGTGCTCCTGGGGTGTGGGTGGGCAGTGGGGGACCCCCCGGAGTCTCTGGGGCTGTTGCGGTCCCAGGGACGCGATACCAAAGAGGAGCTTGTTAAGACGGGTGTTGGCGAGGGCTGGAGGGGATTTGGGGCTTTTGGAGTTATTTCGGTGGAGGGGATGCAGATCGGGGTGGATAATTTATGACGGGTTTCTATCTGGCGCGATAGTATAATTTTATGGTTCTTGAGGAAAAAAAAAAAAAATCCAAACCAACTTTTTTTTTTTTTTCCCCTTTTAATTAAAAAAAAAAGAAAATAATGTTCTGAGCAGACTGTGCCATGTCCCGTGTCCGGGGCAGAGCGGGGGAGGGCACAGAGAGGTGCGGGCGGTGGAGGGGGCGGTGTGGGCTCGCCCGGCCCCCGGCGCACGTGCCGCCCCTCCCCGCCCGGTTTCACAACCGCGGCCGCCGCCGATGTTTTCCTACCCGGGACCGGGCGCATGGCGCGGCCGCCGGGGACGCTTCTCCTCCTCCTCCGCCTCCTCCTCCTCCACCTCGCCGCCGCCGGGCGGCCCTGCGGCCCCGTCAGTGAGTGTAACCGGGCACCGGGCAGGGCGGGACAGGGGGATGGCCCTGAGCCTCTCCCGGTACCTGGGCCTCGTGGATCCGGGCACGGGGACGGGACACATGCGGTTCTCTGCCTGCCCCGAAGGAGCTCAGCGGGGCCTCGTGGATCCGGGCACGGGGACGGGACACATGCGGTTCTCTGCCTGCCCCGAAGGAGCTCAGCGGGGCCCGGGGAGACGGGCGGGTGGTACGGGGCACCCCTGGGAGTGCTGGGGCCTCGGTCTGGGCTGCTGGGTGCTGGGTGCTGTGTCCCGGGTGCTGGGTGCGTGTTGGCTGCGTGCTGGGTGCTCTGTGGTGTGTCCCGGGTGCTGGGTGGTGCCGGGTGCTCTGTGCCGAGTACTGGGTGCTGTGTCCCGCGTGCTGGGTGGTGCCGGGTGCTCTGTGCCGAGTACTGGGTGCTGTGTCCCGGGTGCTGGGTGGTGCTGGGTGCTGTGTCCCGCGTGCTGGGTGGTGCTGGGTGCTCTGTGCCGGGTACTGGGTGCTGTGTCCCGCGTGCTGGGTGGTGCTGGGTGCTCTG